TGACTTAGCATGTTTTGGAGGTCCACCCTGCCATAGTCACTGGAAGCTCTTCCTCTCCATGCTGAATGGTGTTATACCATATATGGATATACCATGGTTTATTCACCCGCTAACCCGTGGGTATTTGGGTTGCTTCCTATGGACAGGAAGCTGCTGGGAATAACATTGCCGTGAATATCCATGCCTAAGTGTTTGTGTGTGGCTTCTGGAAAGAAGGGGGATGATCGCTCTGCTCTCCAGTGGGAGCGAGGCATGGAGGAGAAGCTGAGGAGAGAATGGGGAAGCCATGCAGGCAGCTTCCTCTGTGCAGAGCCTCCTTCCAGCAGAACCCAGCCTGCAGCTCTGAACAAAAGGTCAGGGGCTGGGAGAGGGAGGAAGATGTGTTTATTTTCTCATCTCCATGGTGCTGGCAAGACTCCTTTGTCTACATCCTAGAGTGAGCTGGGATGAGGTCGCTGCTCCCACTGCCCTGCTGTTATGAGTGAGCCCCATCAGAAGGGCTGGTTTCCAGTGTGTTCCATCCACCCTCCTTCCCACATCCTCCATGACTCACACCCAAACAGCATGACCCCGGCTTCAGTGGGTCAGGTGATTCTGTGCTGCCATCTTCCATGGTCCCCAAGCCACAGCAAGGCAGGGGAAGCATGTCACTACCCAACCCTGAGGACCAACCGTTAGGCATAAAATGGCGTCTAATGAGATGAGAGTTTCTTCTTACTCAACACCTGTGATCTACAGCATCACCACAGCTCCCCATTCCACTCAATATCTGGTCCTCCCTCTTAGGGATGCCACAGTCCAGAAGGCCTGGGTTCGAATCCTAGGGCCACTCAGACAACCACAAAGAAGTTCACTAGAGTCGCACACCAGGCTGGGGCAGGAAGTGAGGTTATTGTAGGGTTAGCTTCTCTGCAGCTTTGGATGCCGGGGAGACAGGTGGACAGGGAGTCTGCTGTCCTACTTTCTAATCTAAAAAAATAGCCCTCTGGGACCTACAGCACATGTCGGAGGAAGTCAGTAAAGTGGCCATTAAGCCAAAAATGAAAAGACAAGCAAACATGGCCAAGAGCCTGCGCCCCAGAGGCAGGAAACCAGTGTGGGCCAGCCAGTTCTGAGAGAGGAGCACATGGCCTTCAGGCTCCGCTAGGCGCCAGCCTCCATGGCTTCCTCAGAGCCTTGGCTGACTCCGTCAGAAGCTGAGTGCGAGGATCAGGAGAGACGCCAGGAGGGATGCCCAGGAGCCAGCTGCCTGGGAAGGGTGGGCTATGCAGAGTCAGCCACACAAACACAATGTTCCGGAGGGCAGGTAAGGCTCCAGAAAAGGCCTCCTCTGCCCTGTAGGAAGGAAGGCAGGCATGGTGCTGTCTCCACTGTTAGCAGAGACATCTCTGAGAGTCAATGACGCTTAGTCGGGCAGGATGCACCAAGAATAGATACCAAACTACGGGCTCCGCACAGAACCTGATGCAGCACCAGAACCCAGTGTTGCAGGACAAGGGGGGAGGGAATACTGTTGGCCCGGGAACACTTGCGAATGCCGAATGTTCAAGGCAGGAGGTGGAGACAATGGGCTGAAGAGGGTCTCCTCGAATTTCAAGTCTGAGCCTAGAACAGTGGTTCTCAACCTGTGGGTTGCAACCCCTTGAGGGGTCGAATGACCCTTTCATAGAAGTCGCATATCAGAGATATCCTCCATATTATTTACATTATGATTCATAACAGTAGCAAAATTACACTTACGAAGTAGCAATGAAAATAATTTTATGGTTGGGGGTGGGGGTCACCACAGCATGAGGAACTGAACTAAAAAGGGCCAAAGCATTAGGAAGGTTGAGAACCACTGATCTAGAAGCTGTGAGGATGGTTTCTGAGGGATCGAGGCTATGAACATGGTTAAGAGAGAATGAAGTGTATTGTATACTAGATTGGGCGACACTAGCGTCATGGCTAACGTTCTTACAAAGGGGAATGAGGGCACAGGGATGTGGGAGAGACCACTCCGCTGTGTGAAGACAAGAGACACACAGGGCACAAGTTACATGAAGCTGGAGGCAGAGACCAGAATGATGAAGCTAGAGCCCAAGGTGGCTCAGCAGTCCCCAGTAGCCAGGGAGAAAGAAGTAGGAGGTGGTCCTCGGAGACTATACATACCCAAGCGTTATGTTCCAGAACTGTTAAGGACGTTGTTTTTTTGTTTGTTTGTTTTGTTTAGATCCACTTTGTTAGGGATGATCTCAGACACCTATGCGGGGACCAAAAGCCCAGGCCAGGATGCACAGAACAGACTATATGTGCTGGCAGGTGGCAGAGAGAGGGGAACGTTTTGGCGGTGTTGGACGTTTGGGCAGGAGCCTAAAGAACGGAACTGAAGCTAGATGGCTTCTGGGAGGACCAAGTCGAATGACTCATTTTCCATCTTCAGGTCCATTTCCGTGCCTGGAGCAGGCCCTGCAGACAGTAGGTCAACAGGGATGTTCACTATCTACACAGCCTGTTCTTTCTTGGGTCCTCTGAGCCCCCAGGGCCGTGCACGCCACACCCCTCCACTCACACTGTATGCGCTGTGCCCCCGTCTTGCTCCCGACGGCTTGTGTTCCCTTTTCCAGCTCTACTTCCACACATGGTCCCTTCCGTCACAGGGACTGACGGGCTTCTGTTCTGTTTCCCTGGGACACCTGATGCCCTGTGTTTGAGAGGACACAGTTCTGCACGCAGTAGGCACCCACTGAACACTGTCCGGACATGGAGAATTGTACATGACAGGTCAACTTGGTCGTAGGGATTTAACTAATCCAGTTTCACTGGAAAAAAAAAAAAAAGTGATCGGAGGCTGTGCTGTTTGCTGAGTTGGCAGAGAAGCATCGGGTTTTTCAGAGGCACGTCATCCACAGAGGGAAAGCCCACGCACGGAGCCATTTGCTAAGCGCGTGATCTCTGTGCTAGAGGCCCGATCTCCAGCCCCTCTAACCAGCAGCTCTGGCCTGGTTAATTATTATTTCCCTCTGGCCAGGGAAATAAGAGCAGAGGGTCAGCAAGTGAGGTGGGACTGACGTTTGCAAGTCATATTTATGCACTGCACAACGCCCAGCATGTATTTCAACGGCCAGCGCTGATGATAACAGGCTCGCTGAGGTGAATCCACAGGCCTCTGACCACCCTGCCTGGCCATTGCTGCTGCTTTTAGTAGGCAGCTTGTCTTGGACAGAGCTTCCTCTATGACCAGCTCCTGAAGCTTCCAGCACGGACGAGACTTTTTTGGTTACGTGAATCCAGCACCGTCATGCTACAGCCTGGGTGGACAAACATCCAGAAGCTTCCATGGCCCCAACCTGACCACCTCCTCACCAAGGTGCTGTGAGTCACATGAGAAGAGCTGGCTAGCTGTTCATGTCACTCCTCTGCCGGTCCCTGGCCACCTTTCCCTAGTCAGGGGTCCTTAGGGTACAGAGTACGACAGTGGTGGCCCCAAACAGCAGTCTATGGGCTTCGGGGCTGGAACCGAGAGCTCAGCCACTCCAAGGGGCTTTATGCATCAAGTCTGCGCTGAGCATCCATCCGCCTGTGTGGAGATACAGCTGCACTGCGAAGTGCCTGCCAACCAGGCAGGAGATGCACTGGTGGCTTTGTGGTCCTCTTTCTCAAAATAAGTACAGCCAGGTGGCGAGTGAGCCAGAAAGCTACACACAGCCTTCCACATCAGCCTGACACTGGGCATTAAATCCACGGCTGTCTGGGGACACAGAGCCCAGGTGACAGCTGGGAACAGAAACCGCAGGTCCTGAAGAACAGGCAGCAGGACTTGGCTGTGGTTAGCCTCTGATGCCAGGGTTCCGGCCTCCGAGCAGATCCTCGAGCACGTGCCGATGCGCAGAGGCGCAGAAATGGTCCATGTATTCAGTAGGTGGGCACTTCCCGGGAGAGCCCAGGATGCAAGCCTGGCCAGGATTAGCCCTAGAACTGGGACTTTCCAGAACTGTCCCAAGTTCACGATGTTCTAAGAAGAACAATGATGGGAGGAAGGGAGCAGCGGATGCAGGCCGTTGGCAACACATCCTGCCCACGGGGCCCATAATAGCCTTCAAAACAAACACACGCTGCTGTTCAGCCTTCAGTTTCTCTTGCATGGAGACATCTGAACTGAGGCAGGCCTCCTGAGTCTGAGTCCTCAGAACAGCCGGATGGTTCCTCCTCAAGAACAAAGATTCTAATTCAATCCTGACTGTGGAGTGGCTCAGCCTGCTCTCTGTATATGCCTGAGAATCCCTGGGAAGCTGTTTGCTCCGCAGTGGACGGCAGCTTGTAGAGTTGTTTGCTGCAGAACCCAAGGGTGTTGGAGTGCAAGGCCAGGCCTGTGTACATCCATCAGGCAGGGCATGCCTGAAATCATGACAATTCCAGCCCCACGTGGTACCCAAGATGAGGATCTGGAGAGAAGGGGTCCTCCTTCTACACAGGGCTTGGCTGAGTGATTACTGGCCAGAAGTTCCACTGGACCTGGACCTCTGGGTCCTCTGCTTCACTTTACAGAGTGGGAAAGACTAGAATCCTTCTTTCCTCCTGGTCCCAGCTAAGAGACAGCCTGGAGGGCTGGGGCAGAGTCAGCAGATATAGAATATCTTCCCTGGTTACAAAGGACAAGTCTAGCTCCCCATCACAGAGAGATGAGGGAGGGAGGGAGGGAGAGAGTGAAAGACAGAGAGACAAAGAGAAAGTGTCAGAGTTATCAGAGTACCTTTCCTTGTTACAAAGGACAATCCCAGCTCCCTGCCACACATACACACATACACACACACACACAGAGAGAGAGAGAGAGAGAGAGAGAGAGAGAGAGAAGACATAGAGTACCTTCTGTGGTTACAAGGGACAATCCCCTACACATACCACAACCACCACCACCACCACCACCACCACCACCACCACCACCACCACCACCACCACCACCACCACCACCACCTTTCTCCCATCAGCCCAGGCACAGAAAAGAACAACACTAAAAAATGTGGCGTTGTCACACACAGACTTTACTGGATAACTGGAAGACACAGATCAGCTATGTAGGTCACAGACCTGGGAACAAACCAAGTCATGATTGGAAAATTGCGATCTGCGGAGCAAAACACCCGTGCCAGGGTATCCCAAAAGCTCCACAGCGGACAAATCCCCACTAGTGACCAAAACCACACTAGAGAATGGGAGGTCAGGTCTTGTTAGGGATATTGCCTGGGAATTGGCCCATGGAAACCCCTACACACCCATTTCTCCTATGCCATCTAACACCCACTTTGGGTGCAAGGTGTGTGTGTGTGTGTGAAAGAGAGGTAGAGAGCTGGTAGCCAAGGCACAGAGGAATGGATATAGAGGGAGAAGTGTCCAAGGAGGCCTTGGAACACAGCTGGATGGCTCTGCAGAAGACAGGGGGCCATGTGGCCTCTCCCTACTTACTGAACTTTCCTTTGCAGTCAGTCAAGAGGGAGCTGGGAGTGGAGGGCTCCCGGGGCCTGGGCAGGGTTCTGGGCACCAAGAGGTGGGAAGGGGTGAAGGCCTGCTCGTGAACGGGAAGTAGAGTTGGGGTAGGGGCTATCTAGAGTCAGTTCTAGGCTCTGGGGAGACCCTGAATCTGGCAAGGCAGAGGAGTACTCTGGTCCTCCGTCTAGAACCATCTCCGCCCTCTCATTCATCCTGGGCGGGTGTCCCTGCTCAGAACTAGGCAGCTGACAAGGGACACGGTAAGATAGAAGCAAGCCAGGTCAGACCTGGTCCTCCCAGCCTGCTCCTGTAGGTCTTACTACAAGGTAAGAGCCGGGGTCCCCAGACACTGACAGCGGCAAGCAATTGGACAGTGCCACTCGGGGGCTCCTGACAGTTGCTCTTGGACCCGAGTGGGCCCTTCTAAGGCCTCTGTGAAGCACAACTGAGCCAAGGAACAGAACGGCTGCATTTTGTTAAAAAAAAAAAAAAAGCTATGTGTTTCATAAAAAATAAAATCTAGTTCCTAACACAAAGAATATATACTCTGACATTCTTTGCTCCAGGAGACACCATCTACTGGAAGGCAAGGGTTGTTTGTCCTGGTGCACGGCTCCTTCTCCGTGGCTCCACCGGAGAAAAGCTAACAAGTTCCGATCCCGAGGGCAGACAAGGTCTCGGAGGGAAAGCCTCAGCGCCTCATACCCCAGAGGTCAAGCTCTGGGAGATGCTATGAGCCACTCTGTTGACACCTGCATCCAAGGGGCCATGGGCTGGCCAGGCCCTTCGTGGGACAGGAAATGGAGGACCTGGAGTCCTGGAAGCCGTCTGTGCCCTAGAGAGGCAAGGCTGGGCCTAAGTTTTCCTTTTAGCACTGAAAGCCCCAAGGGATTCAGAAGGGACTTGGGTCAAGGCAGTCTGGATAGCTGGGCCTGAGCAGTCATGCCAAGGAGAGACTCCAGAGCGGCCTGTCACAGGTACCCCCCGTTAGCCCAACCTAGGCTCAGGTAAGCCTTCCTTCCTGCACTGAGCTGGCAGAGCCAGTGGACACAAGTATGTGGAAGGCGTCCCTTCCCTGGTGGACACTGTCCTCTGATCTCACTCCGACTCTGAGGTCAGGCCCCTGTTGAGCAATGTGAGGCCCGTACCTCCTCTCCTCTTCACAGCCAGCCGGGCTGGGACAATGCAGCTCGATTCCTATGATGTTCCCAAGTCTACGTTCATCAGAGTCCTTGTCCATCCCACAGCCCAGGAGAAAAGGAAACAGTGTGGTACCGGGACGGGGGCATCCAGGCTTCCACTTTCATTCGCGGTCCTTGCCTTGCAGACAGAACCCACGCGTTCACAAACAGGCCTCTTCCCCCGGAGGGCATGCAGCCAGCCGCAGGCCCAATAGAGGTTGGAGGGGGTAAGTCAGAAGAGGCTGGGGGAGGCTTCGGCAAGTGTGTCGTGGTCTTGGATGTACTGCAAGATGTCCATTTCATCCATGGCCTGGATCTGTTGCTGCTTCTGCGGTCCAGCCCCAGTTTCTGACGGGCCCACAGAGCGGGGCACAGCTGGTTTCTTGGGCAGTGCTGGCTTAGCTGGGACTAGAGGCTTGGGCTTAGTCTGGGGCTTGGGTTTAGGTTCAGACCCTAGGTTCAGAATCTGGTCCAGGTCTTCTTCAACTCTAGGGAACCAAAGAGAGCAGTCCTAGAATGTAACTCTATCCACAAAAGAAACAAGAGCCTGGAGTAAGACCATTCCCCGCATGGGCATTGAATAGCTCCCAGCTTGCCTCAGGTGAAGGCCTCGCGCACAGTACCATCCAACCAGCACTGAAGAGAAGCCCAAGGGCAGGGCTTTCTGACCCCCTACCTCTACAGCAGCCAGGGTAGAGTCAGTCCCTGGGCGGTGACTCCAAACCTGCTGGTGTCTTCAGAGGACTTCCCCCCCAGCCCTTTAGAAATAACTGCATGCTATCTGGTACCAGACTCCTGACCTTCACTGGGCACTTTAGAAACATCATCTCTCTCTCAAATCCCGACTCCAGGGAAGGACGTATATGTGTCTTTTTTTTTTTTACAGACAGGAAGCTACAGTCTGAGAGGCTGGGTGGCTCATTGAGAGGGCACTAGGTTATAGTCGCGCCTAAGTCACGACAAAGATGCCTGACCCGGGACGCACAACATCAAGCTAAATCAGCTCACCCAGAGAAGCAGTGAACATGGCTTTCTGAGCTGCTGTGGGATGGGGTCTGCTGGCCGAGGCATATCTCTCTGAGTCACTGGGTTCTAGACAGAGCCCATAAAGGCTGGAGTGGACTCAGCCAGGACTCACCAACATTGGGTCATGTGAGTCTGGAGCAATGACTCAGCAGTTAAGAGCTTTGGCTGTTCTTCCAGAGGACCCAGGTTCCATCCTCAACACTCACACCAAGGTTCACAACTACCTGTAACTCCAGTCTAAGGGGATTCAATTCTTCTTTTGGCCTCTAAGAGCACTGTACACACGGTGCACAGATACACATGCAGGCAAAACAGCCATACACACAAAGCAATAAAATTAAAAAAAATTTTTAAAAAAGATTGGGTGATGGCACAATCCTCAGATTGCCCACTGGCTGATGGGATTGAGGCTTCACTGGTGATTGGCAAGGAGGAGAGCATGCTTGAGTACTGACTATCCGGACAGACGGCCCAATGCCCACCTGCTCTTAGCCTGGGAGAGCTTGTGTTGTGAGTTCCCAGCGGAGAAACTGGATCTCAGAACCAGCATTGCAACACAAACCTACATCCACCCACTCCACCCGTCAGCCCACTCGGTGCTGCGGCAAATACCACAGGTCGGGCATTTCCGCGTCTCCGGTTTGTTTGATGCGCTCTCAACATACTGTCTGGGAGCAGATACAAACCCCATTTTACAGAGGCAAAAACTGAGCTATAGGGAAGTGAAGGGCCCTGTCTTGGGCTCCACGGCTAGGGTGAGGATAAAAAGTACTGGACCCATAGGAGGCTGGAGCTCTCTAGAGGGTGGTCACCTTCCTGGGTACCCCTGCACGGAGGTCCCTTCTCCAGCTTCAGGGAGGGGCTGCCTCTTGTGCTGGCAGTTATCTCCACAGGTGTCCTTCAGCCATACCAGGTTAGATGAGCACAGCTGTGGAAAGCAGACACCCTGGGCCGGTGGGGAGGGGGTGGGGGAGGCACTTAGCTTCTCCATACTCTGGTTCCTCATCCCCAGGAAGTGGGCCATTAGTCCTGTACAGCAGCTGTGAGCAGGACTGGCTTCTACTTTTTTTTTTTTTTTTTTTCTTCAAGACAGGGTTTCTCTGTGTAGCTCTGGCGCCTTTCCTGGAACTCACTCTGTAGCCCAGGCTGGCCTTGAACTCATAGAGATCCGCCTGCCTCTGCCTCCCGGAGCACTGAGATTAAAGGTGTGGGCCACCACCGCGCCCAGACTAGTTTCCATTTCTTATCAGGCAGCCCCTCAGCAAGCAGCCTCAGACCACTCCACCTCTCTGGCTCTCTCAGTCTGCTCATCTGTATAGGAGGGCTGGTTCTTGCTCCTCTAACCTCACAGGAATCCTTATAAGGGCCAAACGCAGGAAGTGCTTCACAAATCTGAGGGAATCCTGCGCACACTGACTTTGACTGACAGCCACCGGATGTTAAACAGGGCGGGCACTGCCTCACTCCTCCCGCAGGGCCACCCCAACCCAGCTGGCCAGAGAGGACCTGAACAATGGCAGGTGCCAAGAAGAAGTCAGGATGGCTAGGGGAGGGTGTGGCCAGAAAAGATGGGGAAGGGATCCTAAGGACAGGATGGCCCTGACATGAACTGGCAGGATCCCGGAGAGAGGAATGACAGAGAGCAAAGGCTGGGTAGTGGGAACGAAAAGCAAAAGGATTCAGGCCTTCGTGATGGCGGCTCTCTGCCCTTGCAGAGGGACAAGAGCACCCCAGCAGGACTGGGGTGGGGGAGGGGGGCAGGAGCGGAAAGAGGAACATTTGGTCTAAACAATACTCTGGTCCTCCGAGGCCTGGAAGAGGCCTGGGTGAGCACAGAGATTCACAGGGCAGGGTCCCAGAGAACTGCCTGCTAGGACCCAGCAGCTTGGGAGCTCTGGATTGCCCTGTCTGCTTTCTGGGGTGACTGGGACTTTCAGAGCCTGCTTTCTGGGGTGGTAGAGAAGTGAGCACAAAGTCTAGACCCGTAGGGAATGGGTGGGCCGGTTTCTAGAAAGGCCAGCCACTGTAGGGAGAGGTAGGGAGGTGTCGTCATCCGTGGGAAGGCGGCTCCTGCCAGTCTCAGCTCCCATGTGTCTCAGCTTTCTCCAGGCAGCCACTGTTTCATTGGGTCAGGAGCTGGCTTCCCTTACATTCTCCAGAGGGTGCCCACAAAAAGCTCAAAAGGGCAGAGCTAGCTTCAGAGTTTTCTTTTGTTTTTTTGAGACAGGGTTTCTGTGTGTAGTTTTGGTGCCTGTCCCGGAATTCACTCTACAGACCAGGCTGGCCTCGAACTCACAGAGATTCACCTGCCTCTGCCTCCAGAGTGCTGGCATTAAAGGTGTGCACCACCATCGCCTGGCCAAATAGCAGTTAAAGGCCTGAGACCGATTTCAAACATAGCCATGACTCCTTGGAACAAGCTGCAGCCAGGTCTGCTAAGGTTGGGAGGGGTGCCCTGGGTGGCCAGCCACAGCAGGGCCAGTGTGGCTGGCCACACTTAGCACATGCATGGTTACACAGGCTCCTGAGATCAGGTCTAACTAACATGAGGTTCAGCTCCTCTCTCTTTCCAGATCTAGGTGGTTCGATGTCAACCACAGCAGTTGAAGTGGCTGTCCTGAAGTGTTCTGTGCCCCGAAGCCGTAGCTCTCTCCTCCCTCCTAAGCCCCCACAGAGGGCAGAACCCAGCTACAGATCGACTTCAAGGCCTGCTAGAGGGGCTTCTTGAACTCTGCTTGGTCCATTCAGCAACTTCAACGTTGCTGCCACAGGAGAACGGATGCCGAGGTAAAGTGGCCAATAGAATAACGGAGGAGTGAGAGCCTGCTATCCAGAGGAAGTCCAATTACTGCCGGAACAGGAACAAGGTAGGCACAAAGAATAATAATTTCTGGCTCCTGCTCTCAAGAAGCCAATGCTTCACCACCAGATGTCTGTTAATGGAGGGAGGCAGGGATGCAAAGCCCACATTCTTTACGCCGTGATTCCCAGGGGGCTGTGCAAGACAGGGAGGCACAATGAGAAGGAAGGGTCCCCGGGACCAATAAGGCCATGAAATGCTGCGTGGCAGTGTTTGCTTGTGCATGACAAGCCTGTTTAAAGCTGACGTCGGCCGGCCACAGAACCCTGTGAAAATTGCCTTGACACACCCACAGAACCAGGATCAGTGGGACGTGGGTTTCTAATATGTGCTGCTAGAGAGGCTCCCTGACATCTGTCCCACCGGCACAGACCCTGCTGCCAGACTTCCCGTGCCTCAGTTTCCTTCCGAATGGAATAACAATGATCCCGGCTCCTCCCAGCCAGCAGGATGTCAGGAGCGAGGACACATGATGAGGGAGTGAACAGATGCCAGGGGCCTCTGGGAGATGTAAGCACAAGCCGCCATCGAGGTGACTCAGGCTTGGCAGGCAGTTAGAGGGCTGTGTAATAGCCCGGGGCTGCTAACGAGGGGTGCGGATGACAGCCTCCCAGGACCACAGGCCTCGGTGCCATATAAACTATTCCTGGAAAGAGGCGGCTCACTCCATGCACGTCACCAAGCATATACTGCATCCTGGGAGCGTGGACTGGGAGGCAGAGACACCAGCGTGGAAGCAACTGGAAGCAGGCTGTTGCACAAGAAGTCAGGGAGAACCCACAGCCTGAGGCAGGAAGGCAGGTCTCCCAGCCTCTCCTCCAAGGGCTCAGGGCTCCCGCTGGAGCAGAGAGGGGTGACACAGGGTGATACGAGTGGTGGCCTCAGGCAAGTGATCGTTCCTATACTATTTTCTGTAATTGCAGAGAACAGCAACCATCTTAGGGGCTGGGTGAAGGGTAAATAAGATTATCTGTGCTGAGGCAAATCTCTGACAATGCCGGACACACAGCAAGCTCCATGGAAATAGTATTTTTTTTTTTCACATCATCCTTCAGGGAATAGATTAATCTTGACTTTCCCTTCCCTCTAACAGGACCCTCCTGGTGGACTGGCCATTTTTCTGTAGTACATTTGTGCTCTGTTCTCTCTGAGCATGAAGTACGTCAAGGGTCAGTTTTATGTGTTCCCAAACCCACGTATGCCAATTATATTTGTTCATGAATTACATAATGTAGTTATTTTATCCCCTTAAAGAAGCTATTAAAATAGAAGTGTGAAAAGAAAAGGAACATGGTTCTCCTTGGAACCAGTGGGGCTGCCCTAGCTGCTGATAGCCTTCCCTGAGCAAATCTCGCAGGACTTGGCCAGGCCCGGATCCCTCCCTTGTGGCTCTTGGCTAGGCCCGGATCCCTCCCTTGTGGGCTGAAGCTAGTAAAACACTCTCACACCAGGGTAAGAGCCTCTGAAGTCTTCCCCGGGGACAACAGTACCTGAACAGCTCCTTGGAGGCATCCCTGTATTCCGGGCTGGATGTGGGCCCTCCACTCTCCCGGGCAGTCGGCAGCAGTAAAGGGTCACCCAGGGAGACAGCCCCGCCAAGATCAAGGTCGTCGAACAGCTTCAGGGCTGTGGGAAAGAAGGAGCGGATGGTATGAAGAAACGCTGGTCTAGCCTCAGCTGCCAGAAAGCAGGCCTGCTGAGCCTCGTATTGCACCCAAGGAAGCGAGCAATGGCAGCAGAACGGTGGGGGGAGAAGGAGGACAAGAGCCTATCAACTCTATAAAGGTCTGAGCTGCCTGTCCGCCTTGCCCTGGCTCCGTTCCAGTCCTTGAGGGCTGCTTACTGCTGGGGTAAGTGACTTCTCAGTATAATGCACCAGCCCCACCCCAGGACTGGACCCCTGAGCTTGCCCATGGGTACAGATGAGTAGGTACTGAGGGCATCCACCAGCCACGGATCTTGCCAAGGTCGTGAATGAGGAGCAGGGGCAGCAGACATGGACTGCTCATGGGGCTCACCTTCAGTAAGCCCAGGACTTCCCAACCGTCTCCCACTGGACCCACTCACAGTTGCCCTTTGGGAGTATCAATCATGTCTCTACTTGAAAGCTTTTTCCAGGGTTGGGGATTTAGCTCAGTGGTAGAGCACTTGCCTAGCAAGCTTAAGGCCCTGGTTTCGATCCTCAGCTCCAAAAAACAAAAAACAAACAAAAAAAAATCTTTCCCCAGTGGAGCTGGCCAGGCCCTCTGGTCTTTTGGGGTCCACCACTGCATTCCTTCCCAGGATGCCCACTGTCCTATGGGAACCTCTGTTTCTGTTCAGCCCTGAAAGAGATCCATGCTGTGCTAAATTTTTGGGCGATACTATGTGTCTCTAGCTCTCTAGGGGCTCTAGATTTAAGGCTGGGGAATCTGAGCTTGACCTTCCCTTGGTGGACGCTCACCAAGCGCAGGGTGAATCAGTTAGGTACCATCAACTCTCCCTGAGGAGGAGGAGGAGGGAGGGCCTGAGCAGGCATGAGGAAAGGTCAGAGAGACTCATGGAGGAGTCCCAAAGCTACTGAGCACTCCCTCTGGACCCTGCACTACGCCTTGCGATAGAGTCTCTGTGGGTGGCATGCAATCACTCAAATTAAAAATTGTACAGAGTCGCATTCGCGTCCAAGGTAGGCCAGCATCCTCTTTCCAGTTAACAGTTCCAGGGAACTCTAGTGCCCATGTAGCTACAGATGTAACCAGGGAACTAGGTCTCTAAGTGACCAAAAAAAAAGGGGGGGGAGGGTGTCATTCTCTTCCTGTATAGGACATTCAGAGTAAGTGTATAAAGCCAAAACGTTACAGCCTGTGGGGACACCAGGTGTGAGGCTCTGATTGTCCAGCAGAAAAATCTCCACATACCTAATCTGTATTCCATCTAAACAGGACAAAGATGAGACTCGTTTGCTCAGGGACACACACAGACAGTCACCAATCTCTAGACCAACACCAGTACTTACAGTCCTGTGTGGTCCCCAGAGGTCTCAGAGGGGACACCTTATCGCCTGGGCTAAAGAGCCCCGCATCAGGGTCTATCTCCTCGTCAAAGATGGTGAGTCGAGGTGAAGGCTTGGGCCTCGTGGCCACTTCTGGGCGTTTCTTGGGCTTCTTGGAGCTGGAGATAAAACACAAGGTAAGGATTCTCATGAGTGCACAGGTAGCCTACTGGTCATTCCCAGGTTCCCAGGTCAGCTGGGGGGCCTTCTGGATGCCAAGGGCCATAGAAGAGCAGGTCAGAAGAGAAGCACAGGAAGTGTAGGCCAGCCCAATCTTAGCAGGTGGAGCAACCTCAGAGATCCTCAAATCCAACACACAGGCCTTCTGGACCCAAGGGGGTCAAACAGACAAGAGGAGGGAGATGGAAGGGGAAAGGGCTTGAGCGTGTACTAGGAATGAGCTGGGTCATAATGTGACAACAGCGGAGAGACACTTGGTCCTGAGGCAGTCACATACTGTGACTGCAGTGATGGGTACTAGGAAGGGCAGGGAGAAGCTGGGGACTAGCTGGACTAGAAACGGATGGCCAGGCAGCTCCTCACCCAGTTCTCTTCTCAAGGTGGGGGGACCTAACAGGCACCTCCTGGGGCTTGAGCTCGGAAAGCGGCTCTTCACAGCCACTTGGACATGGGACAGATGTGGCCTGTGGCTCCCAGTTCAAGGGACAGGGCCTATGAGGAGAAGCTTTCTTAGTAGGAAGAGGACTACCAGTGACTTTTCTTTTTTCTCTAACAAAATACTTAACAACACAACACAACTCCAGGAAGGCAGGGGTTATTCGGGTGTATAGTTTGAGGGTACAGCCCACTATGGTGGCAAATTCAGGGTGACACACCGCAGCCATGGCCAGGAAGCCGAGAGAGATCAATGTTGGGGCTCAGCTTTCTTTGTCCCTCTTATGAAGTCCAGGGCACCAGACCATGGACTGGTGCTGCCCATATTTAGGGTTGGTTTTCCGACCTCAGCTAATCCAATCCAGAAAATCCTTCGCAGGTATGCCCAGAGGCCTGTCTTCCAGTTCATTCTGGATCCCATCAAAAACCGACGATAGCAACTATCACATAGTCTAAGCCTTTGTTTCCCTGCACACGACCCTCTTCACTCAGTAGAGTATCTGCCTTCCTTCTCTTGAACGCTGTGGTCCCCAGGGTAGCCTACTCCTTTGTGAAGTTCCTCTGTTATCAGCCCGGCTGGGCCCTGCTACACCTGTTCACTAACTGATGAGCTCTTGCCCTGGAATGCCTGCAACAGGAGGAAACTGGGGGGGAGTCACAGGGGGGCTTCTGGGATGTGCCACAGTTTCATGTCTTGCTCCAGGTGGACAGGCAACCTTCATGTGGCTAGATCACATGATCCGGGCTGCCTTTGTGACATTGCCTGCAGATGACAAACTTGGTTGTATTTTAACAAGATGACCTCATGCCTGGGGGCTGCTGCCCACATTGGCCATTTCAAGATTCCTGCAAAAGCAAGTTTTTCTTTTCTTTTTTTTCTTTTTTTTTTTTTTTTTTTTTTTTTTTTTTTTTTTTTTTACTGGAAACTGGGATTGCTTTCGCCTGAATGCCTGGCAGCCAGTTCCACTGAACTGAGGTCATCTCTGAGCTCATGTTGGCAACACTGGCAGACTGCACAGAGGCTGACCATTGCCAAAAAACTGTAGCAGGTCCTTGGGTACTGCAAGGCCAGGGACTTGGAAATGACTATTCCCACGGTCTGGAGGAAGATATATGTGCTGGTTAGTTTTTATGTCAACTGGACACAAGGTATCTGGAAAGAAGGAATTTTTTTAATTTTAATTTTTTAATTTTTTAATTTTTATTTATTTATTTTTCTTTTTTTATTTTTCTGGAGCTGAGGACCGAACCCAGGGCCTTGCACTTGCTAGGCAAGCGCTCTAACACTAAGCTAAATCCCCAACCCCGTAGAAGTAATTTTAATAGAGAAAATGCTTCCATCAGGTTGACCAGTAGGCAACCATAGGGCATTTTCTTAATTGAAGATTGATGTGGGAGAGGGTCCAGCCCACTGTGGGAGGTACCACCGCCAGGCAGGTGGTCCTAGGTTGTATAGGAAAGCAGGATGAACAAACCACGGGACAGCAAGCTTGTGTGCACAGCAGCAGCACTCCCCCGGGGCCTCCCCATCAGTTTCTGTCTCGAGGTTCCTGCCTGAGTTCCTGCCCTGGTTCCTCTGGATGATGGATGGACCAAAGCTGTAAGATGAAATAAGACCCTTCCACCCCAAGCTGATGTGGGGCATGGTGTCTTACCACAGCAACAGGACCCTAAGAAAGACAGCAGCCTAGCCTACAGTCAGAGCTGAGAGCAGAGAAGCTATAGAAGCCAGGAAGGTACTTATATGGAAGGTCGCAGGCTAGACAGCTGGTGCTACAGGCTACATACCTGTTGGGAGACACCAGTCGGGGCAGCCTCATTGGCCAGATAAAGAAGCAATGGTTCAGAGCAGTCGAGTGTCCGGCGGAGGCCACACAGCAGACTGGATATTTTGGGCCTGGCCGCAGGGTGGTTACTACTAATGATCCTACGCTCTCATTCCTTACTTTAAATATCCCATAACTGGATGGACCTTGCTTTCCTCAGGACAGGAAGGGACACATTTCAAAGGCAATGACAGCATCTAGTGTTTGTACTTTTTCCATCAACATAGGCTACCAGGGTGAAGTGCTCTGCTCTGCCTGTGGCACCGGGGTGAACGACGGGAACCAGGATCTCTAGCCTACTAGTTAGTGAGCATCCTCTAGAAACCTCAGCTACAGCTCCCCTTAGATCCTGAAGTGTGGACTCAGCTGCTCCTCGTGGGAAGGCTCCCCTTCATCTCATCCACCAGGCAGAATCAACACAGTCCTAACGAGCCCTGATCGGGGATGCTAACAGAAGCCATCACCCTAGCAAGGATGTCCGTAGTCCAGACTCCCTGTGCCAATATGCCTGCAGGGCCCTGGGAGCTGTGTGCCTGTCTCTTTGTGGGATGTAACCATCAGTTGGGTGTGGGATCCCCTGGACCAGTCCTTGGGGATGGGAAGAAAACTGTAGCTCTGTTCCACCACTAATATATCCCTTCATCACCTATCCTAACATCCTCTGCTTGCCCCCTGGCCCTGGCCCCAACAGGCATTGCAACAGTGATGGGCAGAGAACTCCATTCACACCCGAGCCAGCACCTGGCCCAGCAGCTCCAGAAGGGCAGGCTCGAGGCTGCTCTTCAGCCATTCTAGTAGCTTTGCCCTCCATGTCCTGTACTTCCTTACTCAGAAACCACCTTCTCTGGGGATCAAACACACATGCTCCCCAGGCAAAAGGTCCAGAGGGCAGGGAAGCAAAGTTTCCTAAGGATCAAGAATAGCAGGAAGTGCCGGTCAGTGGTGGCGCACACCTTTAATCCCAGCACTCGGGGAGGCAGAGGCAGGCGGATCTCTGTGAGTTTGAGGCCAGCCTGGTCTACAGATTGAGATCCGGGACAGGCTCCAAAGCTACACAGAGAGAAAAAGAAAACAAAAACAAACAAAGAAACAGAAAGCAGGAAGCACAGAGCAGGGGATCCTGAAGAGGAGGGAAGCCAGCTGAGGTTTCAACCACTTCCCTACTCCCACCCAGTCTAGCCTTGACAGCACAAATGGCACTAGAGTGTCCTTCTGGGCAGGTGTCCCCCTCAAACCAGACTCACATTTTTGTCCTACTCAGTGATATCTGTGATTTTTGCTGAACTCAAATAAAGTAGTTCAGCACAGGACTGCCCAGTCAGGCACTGGCTGCACTCTACCCTACCCCACCAAGCTGTTCTGTACTCCAGTTCTTCAGACCTCCCAAAGAAGACAAGGGACATCAGGGGAGAGGGAGCTTTGGGACCCAGAAGCGGGACCTTGTCTGATTGGTCCCAAAGTTGCAGAAAGGTATTCAGCGAATACTAGAAGGAAGAAGACAGACAGGCAGACAAACAGGCATGTATGCAGGCATACAGGCATTTGTCCTCTGTGTAGCTGGATAGTCATCAGATAGAAGAAGGAAGACAGATTAGCTCACTTAGATAGGAGGGAAGGAGGAACAGGCCGGCAGGCAGGCAGACAGACAGAGTTATAACACGTCTCTAATTCAGACTGTTTCTACTTATCCCGCAAGGAGACAGGGAGTGAGGGTCGCATCAGTTTCAGTGCTCATCTTACAAACCCTTTCTCTGTTCCAGCACTGCTATCCCAACAATGTCCCCTTGCCAGGCTGTCAACTGCGAGCAGGCTGTCCATTCCCTCAGTGCCTCCTACCTCCCACACCAAGGTGCCTGCGCGAGTTGATGTAGACAGACATGCCTGAGATATGTGACTCTTCCCAGAGGCTGTGAGCTGAGCAGTCAGTCACAGGCACCAGCCATTCCCTACGGGGGGTGGGGGTGGGGTGGAGAGCCGGGGTGTGTGTGTGTGTGGGGGGGGGGAGAGCCAGTCTGTCACAGCTGGAGCTCAGCGGGTGGAGACAATGCGAACTCAGGGAGGCATTCCTGGAGGAGGTAATGGAAACGGGTGGCTGACCCAGTGGGCTGAGGACGGAAGTCTCTGCCAACTGCCAGTTACTCTGTACACTCGGCATAAACCAGGAACATAGACCCCTCTAGGTGATGGTGAGGAGAGAGAGAGGGGGAAGCGGACCCTCACGGAACTTTGCTCATACATAGACCATGGTCTGGCGTGAGGAACAGAGCAGTATGAGTGGCAGGCGAGGCCAGCGTAAGTACCAGACGGAGTTAGGTCTACGACACCATTACAAGATCTGTAACCGAAGTGATGGATGGGGTCAATACTTCATCTGGGATCTGAGTCCCTGGAGCTCTGAGTGTTCCTCCTCCTGGGCTCCCCTAATCTAACACCTCCACCCAGCTGTCCACAGACATACAGTTCCCCCTCAACACCAACGGCAGAGAAAGCACCTAACTGATATGTGGGTCATGCCCCTCTCAGCACCAGGGACTGGGCGGGGTCAGCAGCCCCTGACTTCCCGGTGAACCTGTGCAGACCCCAAGAGCCACCTAAAGAGGCGTCTTGCCCAGTACAGGCTGTGTGAGGTAGGCAGGGGCCCCTGGATGGCTGCAGGCATGTGTAAGCATGTGCATGCT